AATCCATAAGAAAGGACACTTGGAGCATTTTTATTGGAAAGAGCATGAATGACATAACACTTCAGAAGTATGTAAGTATTTCTCCTAATTAAGATAGATGTAGTTGTGTAAGTGTAATATTACAATAACAATAACAAAACTCATCTCATTGGATGGGATCATTTATATGGATAGTGTTGTGTTTTTTTTTTTGGTACAACAGATAGTTTGATGTTATGGTGCTCTATCAATAATTAAGTTTCTGGATATATTGTCAATTAAAAAATCTCATTCAATAATTTCATTAGGTTTGTCAGTCCTCCTCTTATCCTTTTTAGATGATTATACTATTATTAACTTTACTCACTAGCACCTCCAATAACGTTCTTTGCATATATGTAAACCAAATTAAATGATTTTATATTATTTTTTTTCAATAGGAGTTACATCAATTCTTTTTCACATATGTTCATTATAAATTTTATCTTTTTTTCTCTTTTGTAATTAATTGAGTTATTGCTTTATGGTACAAATGTCTTGGCCATATTCACACAAATGATTATAGGAGTATTTTAGGAAATAAACTTCACTAATTTCATTAATCTTCATAAATTAGTTATCTAGTTTTTACATTTAGGATGGAAAAAATGTCTCTAATTGATCCTCGCATTACAAATATTTTGGGCAATTCACGCAACTGATCAATTGATAGCAATGAATTGTCTAAGATAATTGTTATCTCATGATATTCTTATCCGATGTGGTCATATGATAATGCGATTTGTTCATACACAAAGCTCCAATCTTTATATAAATATATACTATTCACACAAAATGCGGTAAGACTGGCAACAATAAATTGTATGTCTAAGAGCTCATTTGGAATTGTGATTGGATTTTTTAAAAGCAGCTTTTCAAACTTCATTTACAGAATATGAGGTAAGTATACAAGGGGAGTCTTGTCTCAGTTTACGTAAAATTACTTATAAGCTCTTATTATCACAAGCAGGTCCAAACAAGCCTCTTATATATGTTTTGTAGTATTCTTGTTTAAGATAGCTGCTATATATCTCATGCTATTCTTGTCTGACGCGCACACAGGTCTTCTAACTGAGTTATATATATTGCTTCACAACACAAATATTTTGGTGATATTCTCATAACTCGGTATGTCTGACAGCAAATATTGTTGAAAATGGTACGCGTTGTCTCATGGTATTCTTAATTACTACAGGTGTTGTCATTTTATGTCTCGAATCCATCGCAATGCAGAGACATAAATGGAATATATATTGAAGAGATCGACTTGTGACCTTGTTTCTGCTGTTAATTAAGGGTCGTAAAATGGTGATGATAGGAGCATCAAAGGTTGCTGGTTTGATCCTCGGTTTCCTCATTTGCCTGCTTGCTGTCTTCTTCCTCAGTCTCTTGTTCATCAAATTGGCCTCACAGGGGGAAAGCGACTACTGATTTAATTTGTGACAGGCAATATGGAGATTTTCTCATGTCCAGGATTATTTATTCTGCTAAGGTGTGGGTGTGTATATATATATACTGGGTGTGTATATATATGTATATATACTACCTCTTGTCTTTAATATATGAGCCAGTTAACTAATTTGAATAGATTAAAAAATTAGTAAAGTTAGTTATTTGTAATAAATAGGTATTTTCTTTCCTAAAATATCCTTATCATTTGATGAAAAATTTAATGTGTGCAACTACTACAAGGACTACTTTGAGAAAAAAATAGATAAATATGAGAGACAGAATAGATTGGGGTTTTATATTTAGAATTAAATTGAAAATCAAGCTAAATGTTCTATTAAGAACCGGAGATAGTATACATATATAAGGTTGTTCATTAATCAAGGAAAATGAGAGAAGCCCTTCTATACTTGTTCATCTCAACCCATGGCTTATGCTTATAGAACAAGATCTGGCGTCTGAAATTTCTACATGATAAAATTAAACACTTCATTTGGCCTCATGTGTTTTAGGAATATTCAGGAGACATTGTAGCAACAAGGGAGGCTAGCTCCTAGATTTATTCTGATGCTGAAGCTGATGAATCCATGTGTAATAATTGTTGCTTTGTTGCAAATCGGTCATATGAGACTTGTCTTCTTTTAGTCCTATCTCCTTCACCATTCATGGAGACAAAGAGAGAGAGTGTTTACCAGATAGAGTTACACACACACACACATAATAGTTTTAATTTGTAGGTTCCTTCGATTATTATATGTTTATTCCAGTATTTATATCTTGGGTCTGTTATTTATGAATGAAGTATCCGTAATAATCTCTATTGCCCATAAAAATGAAAAATTGAGAGGTTACTTGACCAAGCATTTAGGCTAATGGAGAGTTCGGTTTTTAAAAAATAGTTGAAATTTGAGTAAAATATCAACATGTTGTGATGCTTGTGTAGGTGTGTCAAAAAAAAGGCATCACATTAATTGGTAATGTGAGAGTTAGAATGACCACACTCTTATGAGGTTTTTGTGAAAATTCAAATATTATTTTGAAATGAAAGAGCATATCAAAATAATATTTATTGACAGCATTAATAAAGAAAAATTGAATATTGAATAGTTTTAATGCCTTAAACATGGAGCAAAAAAAATTCTTAATGGTGCTGAAGATTTCAAATATCAAACCGTGGGTTTTTTATTACACTTAAAGTGCCAAACGATTTCAATGCGTTATGAAACCGCATTGCCACCGTTTGAATAATTTAATCATCAATTCAAAACGGAGCAACCCCTTGAAAGCTTTTAAACATTTTTAATATATTAAATGATGATTTTGAAAATCAAAAGGGAATGTCATTTCTTTGCCTCCAATGGTTCAAATCATGCAATTAAGGGTGTGTTTGGATGAAACCAAACCATGGTTTGGAGAATAGATTCTGGAGAATAGATTCTGAAAAAAATAGATTTTGGGAAGAATAGATTTTGTGAAAAAGTGATTTTGAGAAGTGTGAGTGTTTGGATAGTTGTTATTAGAAGTACTTTTTATATATACAAATTGGCATAAATTAATATGATAATTATAGAAAAAATATATTTTATGATATATTTTAATTTGAAGGAATAAAATTGTTAATAATATATTTTTTATTAACATATATTAATAATATATAAGATAATATAATTAATAAATAATTAATATGTATATATATTTATAAGATATAAGATTAAATATGTTTATAAAAAATATGTTTATAAAAAAATAACAAGATATATATCCTATAGGCTCTCACACTCTCCCTTTTTTCTCCAAAAGTAAAAAATTTCTGCTTTTCCCAAAACCATGGTTTTGAACCCAAACCATGGTTTTGATTTTTTTAAGGGTGTTTGGCTAACATTTTTCTCAAACCATGGTTTGGGTCCCAAAACCATGGTTTGGGGTGCTTGCCAAACACACCCTAAGTCATTCAATGTCTTCAACGTTCAAAACTGAAATTTTATCACTAAGAGACAAGCAATGTTCAGATCTTGGAGCCTATATATATAAGGGGCATTGGCTAGAGGTGCAAATACATACAGCTCTAGAGTTTTCGAGCGCCTATTTCCCTTCTTGTGCGTTCTCTTACCTGCTGAGTTTACTACTATCTTTTGCTGTTCTGCTCACCCTATTTTGCAAGAAGAATCCGTTTATTCTTGGGGAGTGTCGCATCCTTATTTGCTGGTGGTTGCAGAATAGCTCTTAAGGACAGCGTCTTTAGGATGTGACTCGGATTAACTATTTATTTTGCAGATGCTACCATCCACACAACATACCCTTTTTTGTTTATTTGAACCCAAAAAGCAAAATTATTTCATGAAAATATTAGCCTCAGCATAAGATGTGTTTGCAGGAATATTGAAAGTGTAGGTAATATATTTCTTTTGTTTGAGAAAAAGGTGGAAACAGCTAAGGTGAGCAAAATCAAACCATAATTGAAAACCGAACCAAACCGAATTCAATTTCAGTTTTTCAATTCGGTTATTTCGGTTTTCGATTACACATTCAGTTTTTTTTTAATAATTCAGTTTCAATGTCCAGTTTGGTAAGTGGAAAAAAATTCAATCAAAACCAAAAAAACCAAAATAAATATATTGTATATTTATATTTAATAAATATTATTATAAGAAATATATATGTGGATATATGTGAACTCTTTAAATATATTTATATTCAATAAATATGGTTATAATACATAATATTATAATAAATCACATTAAATGATGAAATATTTATTAATTAATGGTTGTAATTGTGTTTTATTATTTTTTTAAATTTAAAATCACTTTTTACATTTATATATTTTGATTAATCAGTTAACCGAGTCAAAATATTTTAGTTAATTTAGTCTTGACTAGTTTAGTTAATCGGTTTCGATTTGGTGTTTAAAATTTGTTATATTCGGATATCACTTAAAACTGAGCTAAAAAACCGAATGCTCACCTCTAGACACAACTATACCATGCAGGATTAAAAAAAAAAACCATGGGAAAATCACTATGTAACCCCACATAATCTAGTCATTTAAAAAAATCTCACAAGTGAGTCATTTCTTGTATTAGAACTTGTCATTCCTTCTCATTTATTGTGGGATTTTTAGTAATAAAATTACTAACGTAAAACTGCACAGTACCAAAAAAATCGTTTCCTTTAAGTGCGTGAGCATGTGTGGTTTAATGAGGCAACATGTGGAGAACATAAAAACAGAAACATTGTTTTTCCTGCTATTGGTTATGAAACCAAAGTTAGAATCCAAGTTATTCTACTTATATAAGTGGGTTCAAGATCAGAAAGCAAGAATCAGAGGCATGTTTTCTATATGGACAATGGTGTTAGAGCAAGAAATATATAAATCTAAAGACAAGAAATAAGCTTTCTCTGCATAATATTTTGTTATCTCCCTTTATAATATTACAAGACCATTGCACAATGATAGATATATAAAGAAACATGAAAGCCGCTAGCCAGGGTGATAGTATATATGATAACCATACATATCATAATACTTACTACTAGAGCTTGGTAACCAGAAGGGGTGCTCCATATTTGGGAGAGAGGACCAAATTGTAGAAAGGAGAGTGACGATAATTAGGGGAAAGAGAGAAGGAGAAGTTTGAGAGGAGAAGAGTGAGGGCAATCTTGGCTTCTGTAATGGAGAATTTCTGGCCTACACATATTCGATTTCCGAGTCCAAATGGTAAGTATGCTTGTGGATACTTGCAAGCCTCTGAAACTCCTCTCTCAAACCTCTCCGGTTTGAACTCATCTGCATCTTCTCCCCACATCTCTTTCTCTCTGTGTATCGCACTTATGAACACCGAAACGTAAGTTCCTTTTGGCACCACCATGTCTCCTACCTTCACCTCTTCAAATGCCTCCCTTGAAACTCTTATTCCTGGCCCATACAATCTCAGAGTCTCTTGAATCACCATTGATAGCTACAACAAAACAATACCACATTATGGAATTAGTTTGAGTCACATAGTCATATGAACCAGAGGATATTTCTATCACTTTACATGACACTGGTCATCAAGTGGGAGAGAAGCCCCACCAGAAATGAGACCTAGAAATAACGGGTGGCATGCCAAGTGGCATCCTACATGGCATTCATCTTCCAATTGCTGGATGTGGAAGAAGGAAAGTTATGAATTAAGAATTCTGGGTAGAATACTTCTAGATTGCAAGAATATGATCAAGTCATTGTTGTGTTTTTTTAGCTAAGGATCTAGAAACAAGTTTCTTCTAACATTTAACTTATCTTATTTTCTGCGCTTTCTAGTGTTTCCTAAGGTCTCTAAATAGTTTTACTAGAGGAACCGTATCACACATTTAATAATGCAGTTTAAGGAGATATTAAAGACTATGTCAAATGTTTCAGCTAGGTCTAGGTTACCAACTTGCTTCATCTTTCGAAGTTTGTCCATATCACGAAAGCAGTGAGGCAATATGTTGGGGAAGGTCTCGAGAATTTCAGCTCGAAGACGATGTTGCCATTGAGGGTGCAAGGAGAGCTGAACGAGAGTCCAAGTGAGTAAAACAGCAGTAGTGTCAGATCCTGCAAAGTAGATATTTTTGCAGATATCCATAATTAGTTTCTGGGAATCACGTTTATGCTTGAACTTCTTCAATATTCCCCATGCACCACGCCTATTATTGTTCTTCTCCTCATCATCAGCTGTACTCTCAAGAATTATCTGAAGCAGATCCTTTTGATTCTGATCTTTAGAGCTTTGGTTATGTAACTTGTGATTATGAACCACTTTCAAAATCAGCTCCTTTATCTCTTTCTCCAACCTCCACACCTCTTTGTTCTCCTTGGTCGGAAGAATTCTGGGAACAAAATGCAGGTTTGTTTATATATCTCTGTGTGTGTGTGTGTAGACGATGAAATAGAAAGGAAAAAAGATGAAAGATAAAGGGGAAAAATGAATGAAACCTGGGGAATAAAAGTCCGATAACAACGGTGGGTTTAGCAAGGGCGTTTTGCAAGGCAGTAAGTTTGGAAAAAATTTGATTGCCAATATCATAAGACCCACCAAAGCAAACTTTGGAAATGATATCACCAGTGAGTTCCTTCATATCATTATCAATCACAATCTCTGCCATTTCCCCTCCATTTTCTTCTATAATCCTTTCCCATTTCTTGATCATTGTCTTTGTAGATTCCTCCATAAAATCCACCATGTTCTGCAAATTCCACGACAAACACTGCTACTTAAGAACTAGATAAATAATTTGTAGGGATTAAAAAATTTAGTTTAAATTGGTTATTTATAATAAATATACGATAGTGAATTACCCATGTAATCGTTTACATTACAAATTACGAAAAATTTTAATAAACTCTTCAATAGCCAATTGACATCAGTCAACTCCCCAAAAATTCTGAAATTTCATAGTCACCCCTTGGCCAAAATTTTATGTGTAAGAAGAAAAAAAATACTATTATTTTATGAGTTGTAAATCACTGAATTTGTATTGCAAATTACTGAATTCTTGTTGCAAACAACTGAATTTGAATTATAAATCTTTATAAATTTAATGGATGAATGAACAACTCAAATTTGGCAATTCGCAACTCGAATAAAATAAGGGTATTTTTGTCCTCTCATACATAAAATTTTGGTCAAGAGGGCAGTGAAATTTCATGATTTTTTGGGGCTGACTGTAATAAAAGAAGTTCTAATATGTACGATAAAAAAAGAGAATTTAAGAAAAAAATTCATAAATTTGAAAAATAAAATGGATTAAAACCCCTGTTACACTCTTACAATTAGAATCAGAAATAGTAATGGGCATTATAGAACAAGTGGAAGCGAAATGAATATACAACCTGAATCTTGGAGAGGTAAAACTGAGGGGCGATAAGATTCCTCTGAAAAGACCAGTAGCGTCCATTGCCAGTGATAATGCCAGAACCAAGCAATGGCTTTAAATGCTTGGTGAGTTGTGTGGGCTTACCAAGATCCCATGTCTTTAACCGATTTAGCTCTTTGAGCAGTTTGGGATCTCCCACCTGTAGATGTTGCCTATGTCCAGTAGTGTACATGAATGTTGCACCTGATCATCATAAACACATTGATAGATATTAAGACATTCGTTAGCTTAGTTAGGATTGAGGGAAAAATAGAAGGAAAATAGAGGGAAGAGAACCCCATGAAGGAAAATTTACAAAAATTAAAAAATCGGGTTAATATCATCTTTAATTCTTGAAATTTGATCTTGTTTTGGTTTTACTCTTCAAAAGCCCAAACTAAAATGAAGTCAAATTTTCAGTACTAAATATGATGTTAACCCTAAAAAAATGTATTATTGTTGGGAGATTTTCCTCCTAATGTTCTTTCCCCTCTAGTATCAAATAATGAGAGTAAAATAGTGGGGAGAATACTATAAAGGAAAACTCATAGTGAAAAAAATATTTTTGCTATATTTTTTTTACAATTTTTCCTTATAATATTCTTTCCTCTATTTTCCTCTCATCCTAACTAAGGGTTAGTGATGCTATAGAGACAGACAAACAGACACTTACGTACCATATTGTTTTCTCCAACGTTGGAGATATGGGAGAAGGGAGTGAAACCATTGTTCAGGTTGTGAGGTAGAGGAGAGATTACTGGAGAACTGTGATTGAATGTGTTCGATCTCAGAGAGGTTTCCCATGGGGAAACTAGGTTTTGGTCCTGTGATCCCTTGCTTCTCCAGAATTGATCTGATTCTTCTAGGTTTCAACCACAGCTTCTCCCATATTATCAGCACCATCAAGCTCACGACAATGGCTGCCACCGACCAAACCATCTCCTTCGTCCGCCATTGCCATGCCCATTCACCACCTTCCATCTCCCCCCCCCCCGGGGGTAACAACTGTGCCTAAACAATGTAAAATATTGCTGCTAATAAAGCTTGGCTCTCTGCTTGCGTCAGGGAACAATAATGACACACACATTATATTCATGTGTTTGTGCGTGTGTGTGTGTGTGAGAGAGAGAGAGAGAGAGAGTAATTAATTGGATTTTAAAATGAAAATATCTATAGTTATAAATAGTATTTATGGAGATATTAACAGATATATGGACGTTCCCTCAATTAAAGCAATATTGTCAGAGGTGTAATTAGAATGATGTTCATGTACTTAATTATAACGTTCATGCACTTAGAACAACTCATACATTGAATATTTAATATTTAATTGAAAATACATGTCATTAAATTTCAATATTTAATTTTTCCTTTGGGCAATATATATAAGTTTTAATCTCCCTTTCATGCTTTGTGATATTTATTTATGAACTCCCAAGATTCAAAGAACTTAATTTATGCTTTTATGAATCATGTTTGCAAAGTCCCTCCATATACATGAATTTGACTTATTATTAAATATATTACCAAATACATCCATGAATCTTTAATTTTGGGAATGCACCTAATTAAGTTGGAATAAGTGCAATGCAGTTCTTGAATATGCATGAATGTTCTAATATTCAATAATAATTCGAATATTCAAGAAATCAATTCACAATTTCTTATTCATATTAACACATCTTTGGATATCTCAAAAACATTTCAAGCTTTCAAGTTTCAACATCATCAATTAACAATATTCTTCTTCATTTGACTTTTGTCCAGAATCCAGAATTTCTAGCCTGACATGACCATGTTTTCTATCCTAGATATTTCAAGGTAAGGCTTTTCAACTATATATCTTTTTTCCTCTATTATATTCAACTTATTAGCTTTCTGTTTTCACAAAAGTGTTTCAGATTGCTTTATTTATTCTTTATAAATAGTCTCTTAACGTGGATTTGATTCATATTTTCATTAATCTTCATTGTTCATGGTTTGATAACAAATTAATAGAAATTATGTCTAGCTTTAGTCTAATTTTACACCTTTTACTATGGCTAATCTAAACAAAAGGAGGCTATATTTAGGTTGATTTGGTAATAATTTCAGTTAAATTAAAAAAAATTGGATAACTTATTAATAAAGTATATTAGCGTATAAAATTGACTCAAAAGAAAAGTTGTGTTCAATTTATTGTCCTATGAATGAAGCCCTAATTTATATTTTTTGTGCAACAGGTTGATAAAAAGCTGCAAAAGTCCTATTCGTTAAATTTGTATTCGACTCCTTACCAATCTCCTTTGGTTTACTCACATTCTAAACATTATGAATATGATATGGTGAGTTGTTTTTAATATTTTTATATACTCAGATTTGTTGATTCGTGCTTGCATTCATAAGTAGAGTTTATTGTTTTTTTTTTTGGAGAATTACAATGAGATTTCAATGAAAGGAAATAATTACCGGTAAGTTCTAATGACAGTATCCTGAAATTTGTTAGTACTGGCTGTTTTATTGTCATTAAGATTTTTTAGTAATTATGTTTTTTATTTGGGACTTCATAGTGATTCTTCCTTTTTTTTTTTTTGGTACTTCTCTAATCCTTAATATAGGACCTAATTAGAAGATTGATGTTGATCCTATTTCTCATACTACCTCCGGTCCTAATTATAAGACCCAGTTGACTAATTTGAGGAAATTAAGGAAAGAATTTAAGTTAGTTATTTGTAATAAATAGATAATGTCTTTCCTAAAATATCCTTGCTAATCAACTATATTGGCTAGGACTACAATTATTAGAGGGACCATCTTGGAAAAAAATACATAAATATGATAGACAAAGTGGATTGGGGTCTTATAATTAGGACCAAAATAAAAGTCAAATATGGTCTTATATTAAGGACCGGAGGTAGTATTTACTAATTTTTTTAAATTATCCCTATTAAATAATTAAATACCACAATAATACTTATTACTCATTAATAAGATACCTATATATTTTATAAAGTGAGTGAGTAGTTATTACTCATTAATTCCACACATACATCAATTCTACCATTTTTATTTTTAATAAAATAATTTAAAACATTTTTTGAAATGTCAGTTTTTTAAAGAAGTTTTAACTGAGGCTATTTTGAAAAACATGTCATATTTATGATTATTACCTAACTTAAGTAAATTTTTTAATTTAATTAAAGTAGTTAAATAGGTCCTATATTAAGGATCAGAAGAGTATAAAAAAAGAGTTCATTGTTTTTGTTTTCGGTAGATTAGGAATTTTTAAGATTTTGAGATATATAATTATTTCCATCTTTTTCACAGAATAATTTGTCTCTTCAATAAAAAAAATGTTGCTTTTCTTATGGTAGTTCCTTCGACCCTAATTATAAGACTCATTTTATAGTGTAAATTACATTATAACATAGATCTTATATTTAAGACTGGAGGAATATAAAACATCATGATGGAATTTTAATAATGAAATGAAAATTGAAATGAGAGTAAAATTAGATTTTGAATAATAGGAGAGCTTTAAAATATAAAAGACCTTAATACCATGGTCGAAAAATAATCAATTTTCCCATCAAATTAAATGAAAAGAAAATCTATCAAAGGTATGTGAATAACAGCAAGGAACACATTGAAATGTAGGAAGTAACTACCGTTGCTACTATTATTGCTGATAAAACCACAACTGCCGTCATCAGCACTGAGGCCATGTGGGTTTAATATTGATTCTCCGGAGAAGAAGGAAGAGGCTAGTCGAGGAGATGTGAGGGAGGGTGACGGTCAGACGTGGATGCGAATTGAGACCACATATGTTTGGTTGGGGCATGGTCTGAATTTGATGAAAGTTGGAGGGCATTCTGGTCACTAAAATTGGATTTCCTATAACTAAGAATTTTTTATAGAATTTTCCTTTCCAAGGCAAGGAAAGAAAGTTACCTCTTATCAAATAAAAGAGAAAGTCCTTTTTGTTGAATTTTATACACAGTAAGAGGTACATCCGTTACTATGATATTTCTTCCTTAAATGTATTTAGTATCCTGATATTTTGTACAGTATATATAACACTCTGATTTTATTTTTAGTGCATCGAACACCTTAAAGATTACGGTGCTAGATGTAACAAAAAAATAATATCAATACACTAAACGTATCTGAATAAGATCAAGATACTAAATATATTTAGGAAATAAGATCAAAGTACTAGATGCGCTTTTATCTTTTTATATATACCAAACAAGTCATTGTCGTCTACATGACAATATAACGTATCTCTTCACCTATTTACCACACCAAATAAGGCATATGCTTGCATCACTTAATGGCATGGCATACCATACATTATGTGCTCGTCGGTTGCCCGATACACATAATTTTTTGGGGGGCATAATATATGTTATAATATTCTTAAACATAAAAACAAAGTGTAGCTTAATTAGCTTTTTATGGGAATGTAATGAAGTATGATAAGATTTTGAATTTTGATATATTATCTCAATACTTATTTTCCCTTTAAATCCTTTCAGCCCCTCAAATAACTTTGCTGCAACCTCTGTTCAATCTCAATCTCTAATGGAGTCGATTGAGCCATGTTATGTGATTATTAATAAATATATATAATTAAGAAAAAAATTAATTTGCAAATCTCTATACTTTTATCCGATTTTTAATCAAGTTTTTGTAGTTAAACTTTAAGGACCTAACGAAAAAAAAACTACATAAAATTGATTAAAAACGGGGGTAAACTTATAGGTGTATGTACACATTAACTTTTCTTATAATTTATAAGATGTTATAAATGTGATTAAAAATGCGGTAAACTTATAGGTATTCCTGTCATTTTGTGGTTGAAAAGGAGATGAAGAAAATGAACCACTTTCTATCACCTCTAATTTCCACTAAAAACAATACAAATTTCCTTGAATGGTTGTACTCCAAAAATTAATATAAGACCAAAAAAATAACAAGTAAAATGTATAATAACTTATCAATGCACTTTTTGAGCTTATTTCAAGAAAATTATACAACACATAGGAGATTCATTTAGGCCCATTTGATTCACAAAGTGAAATCATGTGACGCTCTGTTATAACACCAAAGTTTCCCTGACCTAATTCTAGCATAGTCGGTATAACTAAGAATAGTGAATCACTGGTCTTAGGATCGACTCTCATTCGGATTGGACCTTTACCCAGTGGCTTAATCTTTGGATTTTATCCTTTACTACTTCTGCCCATCTTTTGTGCTGCTTACCTTTCTATTTGTTGGAGTGTTTGTGGTTAGCTCGGAATCAAATTTGTCACACAGGACAGAAGTTTTCTTCTCCTCAAATCATCTCCATGGCAATGACAAGCACCTTGAAGAATCAGAGATGTGAGTCTCACTATTCAGAGAAGCATATCCAATGGTATTTCTTGCAGCATCCTATCGTCCCAATCCAAGTGATGGTCATAATTGCACATCAGTACTGGTTTGTTCCAATTTCTGCAAGAAAATCAAGACAGCGACGAATAGAAATACATGTTCGTATGTCTTTTGCTCACACACAATTAAATTCATGTTGCTTTTCTCCCAATCTTGCCAAGGGAAAACTTCAGTTGCAGCAGCTAACTCTCCAGCGAGCTTGCTTTGTCATTTCCCATCGGACCTTGGTGTCACCAGGGGTGAGCAAAACCAAACCGTAACTGAAAACCGAACCGAATCGAATTTAATTTCGGTTTTTCGGTTTGGTTATTTCGGTTTTCGGTTATATATTCGGTTTTTATTTTTTAAACAATTCGGTTTCGGTGTTCGGTTCGGTTAGTAGAAAAAAAATTCGGTTATAACCGAATAACCGAAATAAATATATATGTGGGTATATGTGAACTTTTTAAATATATTTATATTCAACAAATATGATTATAATAAATATTATTATAATAAATCACATTGAATGACGAAATATTTATTAATTAATGGTTATAATTGTGTTTTATTATTATTTTTAATTT